CTCAAGGCGCGGGTTGATGGTATGACCGGAAGTTCCTGGAATGGAAGACCGATATTTTCTTCGTGGACCCCGGACTGAAAGTGAACGCTGACGGTTACATCGACCAACTCGTGGAGAATATCCTGCCTTCATGTCATCGCCTGTACCTTCTTGGAAACTTCGTACTGCTACAGGATTGGGTGCCTCCACATGGAATCGAAGAAGGGCGTTGGAAAAACTCTCGCCTACTTGGAATGGAAGGGCGTTGAGTACCTGAAGAAGACGGAATATCCAAGTGTGTCACCTGACCAAACCCCTCAATTACCGGGTTCGGGCGGAGCTCAACAGGGTGGTCTACAGTGGCGGAGAAATCAACGACCTCGCTGAACTCAGGCACCGAATCACGGTCGCGTGGCAGAATCTCTCGATGGCGCTCGTCCAGAAGGCTGTGGCGGAGTTTCGTGATAGTGTACAATGTGTTGTTGAATTATGATGGTGGAAATGTCCGATCAAAACTTGACAGAGCGTAACTTAAATCGCCTTGAATCGAGGAAGAAAAGTGTCTTTTTCTATTGCCTCCCTTGTAGACAGTCTCAACTACTGGTAACAGGGTTGTGAAGGCCGTATGAAAGTTGGTGAGGGGTTTAGATCGAATAGGAAATTTTCCTCAAACTCAACGAACGGCACTGTAAACACTGAATGAGGCGCTCCTTGTATTTCAAAATGGCTAATTTGAACTCATTCCACGTTTTTCGGATGGGCGGTATCGGCCTACCTCTGTAAAGTCAACCTTCTAACGCCCTCCCCTCTTCATCGTATCAAATAGGAGTGAGTGGCGCACCACCAACTTAGAGTGCAGTGGTAGGTCGAGTTCCGCCCACATCTTGAGCGTGAAACGTTCCTCTGAGTGTGTCACTCTTTTGTGCTAATAAGCAACAGTGTTTGTAAATGTCCCCCATTTTCGCATCGGCTTATCGCAATGTGCCCTCAATCAACTTGAATTCGGAGACGCTTCCTTCCGAAATGATAGTCTTGTTCACAAAGGTGGTGGATTGTGGATTCCCGCAGCCTACAAATACGAGAAGAAAGTGCCTCCCCCCTCCCCCCTCCTACTGACTCGCGCAACGCCCAACGTTTATTTTTTTTGACTGCAACCTGTTGGAGCGGTTATTTCGCTACTAACCCTCTCCACTTTGAATGATGAGGGTGAGAGATAAGGGGAAAGAGGTGGCACGAATAAGTGAGAACTCGTCCGTCCACGCCTTTTCTCCGCCTTATGCCCGAATTAGCGCAAGTCAGTAAGGCTGCGTTTATACTTTGCGGCAGCGTAGCGTAGCGCTTCCAGCGTACGCCAGCGGCAGTGCCGGGGAGAGGATGCCCAGCGTCACCAGCGTAACGCTAGCGTTACGCCAGCGTTTCTCCAGCGTTTCACCAGCGTTTCACCAGCGTTTGCAGCGGCAGGGGAGTAGAGACTATGGGAGAGCTGGAGGGTACAAAACACATCGATTGCGCGTCTCTCACTCGCCCTCAGTCTCTACAATACACATCGATTGCGCGTCTCTGACGGCCACATAGTCTCTACTCCCCTGCCGCTGCAAACGCCAGCAAAACGCTGGTGAAACGCTGCGTTACGCTGGTGACGCTGGGAACGCTAGATCGATATGCATCCTCTCCCCGGCACTGCCGCTGGCGTACGCTGGAAGCGCTACGCTACGCTGCCGCAAAGTATAAACGCAGCCTATGAGGTTCTATTTAATTCCCCATAATTTTTGTCCGGTTTTGCTCTTCGCTACTGAATAGAATGCTCCTTTTTATTACTGTGGGACTAATCACAGGTATTACTCACAGGTTGAGAGGCCTGCTGCATTCCGGCCTCATGAAACTGTAGTTGGTGGCGGTGAATTCACAGGAGCGACTACTAATAGGACAGATTTCGATCGAAAAGAGGTGAGTGTGGTCCGATGTACGGAGAGGTCATGCGTAGACCGTAACAAGTAAGGTTAGGTAAAACGAAGCAAGCAAGCTACCCTTGTTAGCTATGGATGGCTGTGCTAGTGGTCCCTGGTGCGCGCCATCAGCCCTTCCCTGCAACTGTTCAAGAAGGTAAGCGACAGCAACCGGTAGAAAGACCGATACGACAATATGATACGGTCTTGTCGCTTGTGAAAGAAAAGGAAAAAGACGGGTTGGAAAAAAAAGACGGGTTGGGAAAAAAAAACCCATCCCTTAACGCATCTCACCATTCGCATCGAAAAAAGAGTACGTAAAGCTTTGAAGCATAAGCTTTAAAGCATGAATCTTCTATAGATTACTGATTAGGGAAGTCCGATTCCACACACAAGTTTACAGCTCGCGTAGGAGTGCAGAAAGTGCGCCCGGTTGCACTCAACGGTTGCATGTTCTCGTGTCTCCTCTATTATGCTTACGTCTCTAACCACTCTTCCATCTGGACTCCTCGCAACCATGGTTGCGCTTGCAGCCATGCCCTTTGCCGTCCTTGGATAAGGACTATAACTGTAAACTTTGCACAATCACTTCCGGGCTCATTCTTGAAATCTGTACTTTGATATCGATAAATTGCTCCCAAAATTTTTCGGCTAATTCAAGGGCACTTTGCAAGTTCGTCATTTGGCCGGGCCAGCTTTACTGATGTAGCTTCTTCATTGCCTCTTTCCCTCCCCTTGCTGTCTTAATAGGAGAGGCGCACAAGAGAGAAATGCAACATAAGCTCTAGCCACGCCCATACGACGAAAGTGGGAACAGCTCTCGCAGTGATTCTTCCACCGCATTTCTTTCATATTTCAGGGTGGGCGTCCAAAAGCTTTCCGACCCGACTTCACTGCTATTCAATCTGGAGAATTCACGGATGTCACGACCAACAGAGCCGATTTCAATCGCAAGAAGGTACATCATTGACATTTTATCGCGGTATCAGGTACACTTGTACAATCCACAACAGTAGTATGGGCGCAGCGATAGGCGCACAGATAACCATTAGGCCATACTTACTGGTGCACCAATTAGCAAGTCCTCGTATTCAGGGAGGCACAATGATTCACTCTCGCCACGCTTACTGTCATGATCCCTGAAAACGATAGGAAGTGTGGCGGAAGCACAGCCAGGACAGATTAGCCACCAGTTTCGGGGCTCAGGAAGGCATCATCGACGGAAAAAATCCGCCGTAGCTGCGCTTAACTCCACACCGCATCACATATTTCATTTATAGGAATCATGTCTGTATCTTCAAATCGGGGGCGAGGAGGCGGGGAGGGGGAGATGGAGGGGCATGTTGCACTCTCGCTGCTTTCTGTTAATGTTAAGGTTCTGTAAAACACGCTGCACCTTAACGAGACCTGGAGATCCTGTCAAACGTAGACGAAGCTCCTGCTATTGCTTAGCTTTCAGAGGTTCACCGGTCTGCACAGTAGACTTCGGCAATGGTTGACGGGAAAGGAGAAATGCCCCTATCAAACCGAACTGCGTCACCGATCGCCTACAGATCCATACAAGGACCCGCAGGGGTTCTGAAGTCCTCTGAAACGGGTTCACCCC